AGACACGGCTGCGGGAGGGGCTGCGCCCATAAGACCCTCCCCGCGGGGGTGGCTACAAAGTTGAGGAAAGCTCACGGAGGTCTGCTCAACGAGCCTTCCTGCTTGCATTTTCCATCAGCTCACCAAAATGATGAGGTACCAGCACGTTGCTGGCGAAGACCGAGATGCCGGACGTGGAGCGACGGCATCCGCACAGGTCGAAGATATTGAACTCGACGCCAGACTCCGAGCGACAAGGCACCCTGTGCCTGATGGAGAGGACTTCAGACGTCGAGCAACTGCATACACACAGGTCGATGATGACGAAGACGCCGGGCCCCGAGCGACAATGCACACCGTACCAGATAGAGTGGATGCCGGACCACCAGCGCCGATTGCCACGGCAGTCGAAGCCGGAGCAAGATTTGGGCACCTGGCCGCAAGCCGCCCGTGGGAACAGGTGAGCCCCGCCGCCTCTGCGACGGAGTCCGGTCCCTCGAATCGTACCGAAAAGGGGTCCGCCCCTTATTCAGGCAAGAAGTCACACTCCTTGAAAGGGTGGTGGACGGAAGCTGGCATCCTCTTTCTCGGCTTCGGCTTGTTAGCTGCCATCATCAGCGTCCTAGCGACGTACCATGGCAAGGTTCAGCCGAAGTGGAAGTACAGAATCAATTTGAACACATTGGCTGCTGTAATGTCAACAGTTCTGCGCGCCTGTCTGATCTCTGTTGTCGAAGAAGGTCAGCTCGATTTTTTGTGCCCTGTGGATACTAAGGAAGTCAGTAATCAGTCAGCTGAAATGGTACTGGCATCGTCAACCTCGTCCGCTTCAGCACCTATCGTACTTCGACAGGGCAAGTCGTGGGCCATGGGGTTCATTTCTGTTCCCCATTCGCCTTCGAAAATTGTAAGTGCCTCGATCAACGCAGACATCCACTTACAAATCCAGCTCTATTGCTCAACTGGGTTGCTTTCTTACACTAGCCTCCTTTGCCATCGGGCCGTTCACGCAGCAAGCCGTTCGCTCAGTACCTTGTGACCGGGACTCTCCAAACTTCCGACCGTTCTTTCAGACTGCAAGCAAAATCGAGATGGGAGCAATCACCCGAGTCGGCCCGGCTACTTATTCTATCGATGGCCCGACCAAGGGTGCAGTTATTAGTGCTCTGGCAGACCCGGTGGCAAATCAATCCCTCGCGGGCATCATGGGAGGCTGTGGAACCGGCAACTGCACTTTCCCTGCAGAGAACGGTATCACCCATTCTACGATTGGAATGTGCACAAAGTGCATCGACACAACAAGATTCATCGAATGGGTTCCAGGAGTGATGGGCAATGAGAGCACTCCGGGTACTGAGTCCTCGATGCGTCTACCCAACGGACTGAACATCACGGGCCCCCCTTTCACCTGCCTTACAAGTCAGTTCGACAACTCCTTGGATTGGATGATTTCCCTAGCGGATGACGAATTCCATGCAGCAGGAGAAAGCGGGATTGTGAAGTGGACATCGCTACAGAGTACGGCTGTGGGCTGCGACTATGGAACAAACCATTCGACACACCCGGGCACCTGGGACTGCGATAGGACGAAGAGCATGAACGTAAGTGGCAACGACGAATTCGTGACTTTGAACTACATTGCTACAACATGCGTCGTCTACCCATGCACGCGGCACTACCACGGTCGAGTCCAGGAAGGCGAACTTACCCAATCGCTGGTATCCGAAATCCCCGCGCCGGTTTTCGCTGACGACGATTTGATAGAGGCTGTCTCTACCGGGCCCATGTATCACGATCCTGGGTACGGCTACGCGCCATTTGCGGGCCTTAAGAGAGAATGCTCCGTCAACGGGGCTCGCTTATGGCTAGCGAAGGTGAAGAGATTTGCACCGGACTCTGCGCATCAAAGCCCACGTGAGCAAGAAATGCACGGATATCATTTTCATCCGACGAAAGCCACCTTTAACGCGACCACTGAAGGCGGGTCGACCGTAAATCTGCCCATGGACTGCATCAATCCCATCTCAGGCCTCTTCGTTGAAGCAATACGTTCGTTTCTCGCCTCAATCCTGCCAGGCAGCTGCGCTCTTCCCACACCCCCGTCCGGCTTTCCTTATGGGGATGACTACTATGGGCCCTGGTTTCACGAGTACCGCGACTTTAGTTATGTGAACTGCAAGACGGACGTACTGGCGGAGTCATGGTGGCTCAACGGCTTTTACAATGGCGGAAACGCCACGCACGACACCATTGCGGGCACCGTCGGCGCCATGGCTGAAGCGATGACGTCGCGGATGCGACTGGTGGGTGTCAGCAAAGACACAAACCAAAGCGAAAAGGTGTTCGGCAAAGCTTCGCACACTACCATCTGTACCGAGTTTGATGCCTGGTGGATGGCAATGCCGGCGGCGGCGCTCGCCCTGGGTACCTTATTTTTGGCCATTGCGGTAGTGCAATCAACCTATGATGGCAATCCGCCACTGTGGAAGTCATCAGTATTGCCGCTTGTCTTTGCGAACCCGGGGGAGCTTGGGGAACCGGCGGGGAGTATGAAGGAGATGGAACAGGCGGCGAAAGTCATTGAAGTGGAACTAGTGAAAACAGGGAACGGGTGGGAGTTTGTGGGAGGGCCTGGACACTCGCAGGTGGGAAGTGGGAGGGCAACTCCGGTTTGAGTCTTTGCTGTCAGCGGGGAGAAGTGTTTCGCACGCTTTGGTCGGATAGGCATTTGGTGTGGTGCTGGTTTGGGGAGGTCTCCGAGAGGTTCTGCACAAGTCAGAGAAGAGCGGACAAGACATGAAATCAACTATACAACCAACAGGAATTCCCAAAACCCCAAGCAAAATGATTACATCGAAGCGAAACGCGCCCCCAACCGTCCAGACCCATAACCCATCAGTCATTATCATAATCATCACCATCATCATAAGTACATCCCCTCGCTCATCGTACGCTCATCCCCTCATCCATCTTTTGCACATCCCCTCAGTCGTCCCGTACACACACCCTCTTCAACCACCCATCAACTCCCCTAAACCCCTAAACCCACCCCTCCAAATACCCCCTCACACTCGCCTCATACGCCTCCCTCAATCCAGCCACACTCGCCTCCGCCCTCAACTGCCGCAGACTCCCCCCCCTCGGCGCACTCTTCCGCCTCAACCCGCGCGGTCCCCGCCCAGGTTCACTCCAAGCACTTCTTTCCGACCACGTACTCCTTTCCGACCACCCGCTCTCCTGCGAATCGCAGCTCTGCCGCCGTGCCGCCCGCGCCGATTCAGCGTACGGGCGTGTGCGCACCGGGACGGGGGGGGCGATGGCGCTGGTGCTGATGGAGGAGGTGGAGGGCGTGGGAGATGAGGGCGCGTAGGCGTAGTAAGTGTGCGCTGGATTGGCGTACGGGCTGGCGTACGGGCTCGTGGCGTGTGCGTCTGCCGGGTACACATCCGGCGTGTACACATCCGGAACAAAACTAAACCGCCGGTCCGCGGGCGCAGGCGGGTCGAATACCGGGAATGGTTCAGTTAGTGTTGCCGGCGGGAGGCAAAGGCTGTTTTCCCGCGAAGGAGGTTTTGACGGGGATAATGGTTGTGGAACGGCGGAGGGCGCGCGCGGGATGGGGGTGACGGAACGGGCGAAGGGGGTTTTGGGGCGCCGGGCGCCGGCCCATTCGGACATTGCTGCGTTGAGGAGGTGGGTTATGGTGTCTTCGCCCGGGGAGGGGAGCTCTTCGAAGCTAAATGGGCGGCGGAGGGTGTGCATTTTGGGGGGTGGGTGACGGGTGGGGGTGCTGGTTGGGGGGGTGTTGCGCGGGCGCTGGTGTTGGTTGGGGGGGTGCTGGACGGCTGGTGATGCTGTCAGGGTGGTGTTGCACGGCTGGTTGATGCTGGTCAGACTGCTGCTCGATAGCTGGAGACAGGGACAAACAGTTGGACCCAAAATCAACGGCGGGAGTAAGATATGCAAGGCTGGAAATTTGCACGCTGACGCGGGGCAGGGAGGCGGGATCTTATACCTAGCCATCCATCCTACGATAGCCAACTCGCCAGCCAAAGACAGAGGTTGGAGAAGCAAGGCTAGAACTAAGCTAGCATGTGGATCAGCAGCCGCGAGTGGTGACGTCCGAATGTCGTTCTCCCAGCCCCCAAGCCCGCTTTACGCCCACCCTGCCACCTGCAAAAGGCGTAAACCACTCGGAGAACTGGGTGTACGCCTCAGCCGCGCATGGGGATAATGGTTCTCACGCCATATCGAATACCAAACATGTTGCATCACCGCTCATGCTATCCATTTAGGTACCCCCCGGAGACAAATCCTTCGACAGACACCGCTCTCTTCGCCTCGCCCATCGGTCAGGCCAAACTCCTCCCATTCACACAAACGGTGAAGCTGACACTCGCCCTCAGCCCACGGCCCATACCCGAAGAACCCTTCAGCCCTCGTATAAACTCCCGCGCCCCGCCATCGTTCAAACCTCCGCATGCAGCGGGTCGGGAGCGGCGCGCGTTGGCCAGTAGCGCGCATGCTGCGAAGCCATCTCATGCAGCCCGAGAGAAAAAGGCAATGCAGAAGTTTTTGTAGACACGGCAAACTGGTGGTGGAGGTTGGAGGTGAGGTTGGGGGGGCGTTGTGGGCGGTGGCTGGCGGCCGTTGGGTGGCTGGGCGCGTGGACGCACGGGCCAGGGCGGCTGCGACTACTGCTCACCTCCTCTCTTACCCATCACGACACACAAAATTGCGAGCAAAGGATATCGTGAGAACATGGTGGATTAGCTGTGGCGAAATGATGCTGGAATTAGAAGCTTCAAGTCATTGCTGCATTCATGGCAAGATTCAAAGCAAGGCGCACATCTTCGCATCATACCCCGCCAAGCAGGACTATCGCAATGGGGCCATGCATATGACGCATGCATATCCAAGGCCATCCAACACCAAAACCAAGTTTCAGCTCTTGCCACCACTGATATGCCGAGATGCAAAAGTCACGATGGAAATCCCAAGAGAGCAAAAAGGTGATGTTCTGGTCAGTACGGGGGTCGAACCCGCGACCTTGGCGTTACAGACAAGCCGTATTAGCACCACGCTCTAACCAACTGAGCTAACCGACCATCAATTATACATATTGATTGATGGCAAAAGTGCTAGTTGCCATTCAATAGGCGCACACAGGGCTTTGCGCTCGCGGGACTCCGATGAGGCATGGACTGCTTTCTTTTGACCCGACGATGCTCACGATGCAACCCCCCACGTAGGCAGTACGCGTTATTATGTCCTCCGCAATGAGTTATAAGTCACTCGCCGCCCGAGAGGTGAGCAGCCCTCATGAGGAAAGATTTTCACCGCCCGCAACAGCGCCTCCCTTCACCAAGCGCTCGTGACCACAAGACACTAAACTACCCCTCCTTCATACCACTTCGTCATCGGTTGCCAATGACTCGAAGCAGTGCTTGATGACCTCCCCCAATTCCTCTCCCTCTCTCAACTTCTAGGCCCCTCGATCGCCTCCGACGGAATCGATGCCGGTACTTCTTCAGCAGCTTCCGCTAGCAATACCAGAACCCGGTTAGACGTTCTAAAGGGACCCGCCCATACGGCTAGCGAAAGCCTGCATCTCATTTCCATTACTCGATAGGAGCAATCGCGTCGGCCAGCTCCGAGAGACATCTCTAACCCGTGGCCGCTGTCGGGGCCGTCGCCCAACAACACACCTAGCATCAACTGCGGCACCGTCAGCTCCACTTCATTAAAGCGATAATAACAGAGACAGCGACCACCAGGGCAGCAAGGAAGTTCGCAAAATCTCTTCTTCCGGGTCAAGCGGCAAGGCGGCCAGAGTGGATTCGAGTCCGGCTCCATATCCCATTGGCGGCACGATGTTTCTATTACTCGATCAACGGCGGCACGAGCCAGCGACAGTGATATCCACGAAGTCAGGGTCAAATTTCGCTACTCTGCATGCAGACAGAATTGTTGAGAGTGGGGCGCGGGAAGATATCGTCGAAGAAATGGATACTCATTGAACCTCTGGCTTACCCCGTGAGTATCCAATGCGTTCCAGCTGCGACTCTCTATACATCCGTAGTTGTCGTTCAGACACCCTCGTAGCTCAGGTACGTACCATGCGGAGCCCCCCCCGGACCGCGCACTAACCCCATCCCCAGCCCTGTCAATCTCTTACTCGATCAGAACCGTTCCGATCGAGTAACCGCGGAAGCACCCGGCATGACGCAGCAAGCGGCGGTCTAGCCTCGTGCGCGATCGGCAAATCAGCCACCAGCCTCAGCCGATAGCCCTGCGTTTGTGCGGAGCTGCACACGCCTGTTGTGCGTCCAGTTATTGGCCAATTGGCCCGTTTTTCTGGACCAAATGCACCCCGTTTGGCCGTAGCGCAGATACGGCGCGATAAGCACACTTCGCTCAATCCAACCGACGCTTATCGATTTCGACTTCTTTCCGGCCTTCCTCCACTTCTAAATCGGACGTTACGGGCGGGTTGGTGCTTCTGGATAGCCGAAATGTCGTTTACTGGGGTACAGCGCAAGCTAGAATGTCTCCACATTGCCATAATGCATCGGACCGCCAGCCTTATCAGGGGGGACCGTTGCGCGCGTTCAGCTTCCGCTCCTGACTTCCGGTGCTAACACCACCTCGAAGCATCCAGCTCCCCCGGCCCAGGAATTTCCATCGAGTAATCCATCCGTCGACGGCAAGCCGCGGTGAATCCAGCGACTTCGGCACGGCGATCCCTCACCCCAGCGTACACCCGCTTCCGGACGGATGCATGCTCAATTTTGTACTGGGGAGGGGGAGGGTAAGCGGGCTGCTGCGGGTCTTTGGGGAAGATAGATAAGGGGACCTGCACCCCACATTTCATGCTATCTCGTTCCTGCGTACCCCAGCTTTGTCTTTGTCCTTGTACTTCAACTCTCACTGCAGCCATTCGTCGCTGACAATCACTTCCCGCGCGCGCTTCTTCCCTTGACCGCGTTCTTTGTCCCTTATCGCAGGCTTATCAATCGCTGTCTCAAGCGCTGTCAAATACCGCATACCGAAATCTTCCGTGAACCTCACCGGCTACCAGTATAAAGATCTACGCCACGCCTTGATCCTCCAACTCAATCCGGACCTCACCTCATCGTCACCTTCACCACCATCCCCTCAACCAGACCACCATGGCTCCCCACGCAACCTCCCCCCCCCGCTCCGCCGCCTCCCCCCCCTCCACCCCCTTCGAGCACCCCGCAATCACCGTCCTAGCCTCCAAACGCGCCGTCATCGCCGGCCGGCTCACCGCCGCAACAATCATCATCTCCACCGAAACCGGCAAAATAACCTCCATCTTCGACTCCATCCTGCCCGCCTCCAGCTTCCCCCCCGACACCCCGTACCACGACTACACACCGCACATCCTCCTCCCCGGCCTCGTCGACGCCCACGTCCACCTCAACGAGCCCGGCCGCACGGAATGGGAAGGATTCTGGACCGGCACCAGGGCCGCCGCCTTCGGCGGCGTGACCACCGTCGTCGACATGCCCCTCAACGCCATCCCACCCACCACCACCGTCGCCAACCTCACCACCAAAATCGCCGCAGCCCAGGGCAAATGCTGGGTCGACGTCGGCTTCTACGGCGGCCTGATCCCCGGCAACTCGTCCGAGCTTCCCGGGCTCGTTGACGCCGGAGTCCGCGGCTTCAAAGGCTTCCTAATCGACAGCGGCGTCGAGGAATTCCCCGCCGTGTCCTCGCTCGACATATCCAAGGCCCTGAGCGTGCTCGCCGATTCTCCGACTACAGTCATGTTCCACGCCGAAATGGTGCCCCCCATCACTGCCTCCGTCGGCGACGAAGTCCAACACTCCGACCTGCCGCCTATGGTCCCCTCCGGCCCGCTGGACCACTACAGCACGTTCCTGGACTCCCGCCCGCCGAGCTTCGAGACCTACGCTATCGCCGAGATTCTCTCCCTCGCACACCTGGCCCCCAAGCTTCCCTTGCACATAGTCCACCTCTCCGCCGCCACCGCCCTCCCCATGCTCCGCGCCGCCAGGGCGAGCGGCGTGAACATCACCGCCGAGACGTGCTTCCACTACCTCGCGCTCGCAGCCGAGGACATCGCGCCGGGGGACACGCGGCACAAGTGCTGCCCGCCGATCCGCTCGCGCTCCAACAACGACGAGCTGTGGACGGAACTGCAGTCTTGCACCGGGCCCGGGGAAGCGGACGCTGTGATCCAGACCGTGGTGTCGGATCACAGTCCGTGCACGCCTTCGCTAAAACTGCTCCCCTCGAGTGTAGCGGCGCGGGTGGACGGCGAGGCGGAGCCGGAACAAGCGGGGGACTTCTTCGCCGCGTGGGGCGGAATCAGCAGCGTCGGTCTCGGACTCAGCATCCTCTGGACCGAAGGGCGGAAACGGGGAATAACAGTCGAAGACGTCGTGCGGTGGTGCTGCAAGAACACAGCCAAGCAAGTCGGGCTCCAAGGGACAAAGGGTGATTTGCGGGTTGGGTATGATGGGGATGTAGCGGTTTTTGATCCGGAGGGGAGTTTCGTGGTTGAGCATAGTAGTATGTTGTTTAGGAATAAGTGCTCGCCGTATGAGGGGAGAGAGATGAGGGGCGTGGTGCGGGCGACGTGGGTTAGGGGGAGGAAGGTGTATGATCGCGCGGGGGGGTTTGGGAAGGGGGGGCCTAGTGGGAAGGTATTGCTTGAGCGGCGGACGGTGTGAATGGGTGGCGTTTTTGGGGCGGGGGATTTGTTTGGGTGGGCTTTTGTGAGTTCGGTTGGCGTTGCGTTGCCTGGTGGCGCGCGGTTGATATGAGTAATGAGCTGCTTTGATATGGAATGTTGGTTTGTGTTGTGAGGTACTGTCACTGTTCGCTGGATTGCTTGTTCTGACTCGCGCGGTCTATCATCAACGATAGGATCGGGAGTCTCATCTCCCTTACGGTAAAGCTCCCTGTAAACCGCTGTTTCCTTCGGCCATCTCTCGAAAACCGGTGCGCTAGACGCGCGAGTGAACGTTGAACATGGGTTCAGAATTGTGCGTCCGCCGACACTGGTTGACGTGACATCAGGGAAGCGAAAAGCAAACATCTTGGATTGAGAACTGAGATGAAGGAAGAAGCGCTGAGTTACAAGTGGATCGCTTGTTCTGACTTGAGCAGTCTATCGTCAACGTTGAGATCGGGAGTACCATCTCGACCTTGGTAAAGCTCCCAGTAAGCGGTTATTTCCTTCGGCCATCTCTCGAAGACTGGTGCGCTGAACACTCGGGCGAACTTTTAGACATGTGTTGAAAATGGTGTGTCTGCCGACGCTTACTGACATGACGTCAAAAAAGCGAAAAGCAAACAACTTGGATCATGAACTGAGATGAAGGAATGCTAAGTTGCAACTGCCCTCCTTGTCCTGCCTCCCAAACGTTGTCAAGATGCCAGTGTCCTTCTCCTTCTCTCCATGCTCCATATGGTGAGTGCACACCAGAGCCCCTTCCCAAACCAGCACAACGCCCAGTGCCTATCCGACCAAGGTGTGCAAAACACAGCTCTCCGCTGATAACAAAGACTCAAACCGGAGTTGCCCTTCCACTTCCGGGAAGTGCCCCATGAGATCCCCCCACAAACTCCCATCCGTCCCCTGTCTTCACCAGTTCCACTTCCATGCCTTTCGCCACCAGTTCCATCTCCGTCACACTCCCTGCCGGCCCATGAAGCTTTCCCGAGTTCGCAAAAACAAACGGCAAAACTGACGACTTCCACAGTGGTTGATTGTCATCGTAGGTTGATTGAACTACCGCGATGGCCAAAAACACGGCACCCAGGACGAGGGCCACCGCCGGCATCGCCATCCACCAGCCATCAAACTCCGTACATACGTCAGTCTGCGAAGCCGTGCCGTACACAAATTCGGTTTGGTTCGTGTCTCTGTTGATACCCATCAGTCGCATCCGCGCCGTTAGTGTTTCGACCATGACGCCGATGGTACCCGTAATGGTTCGGTGGGTCGCATTCCCGCCTCTGTAAAGGCCGTTGAGCCACCATGAATCCGGCTGCTTCCCGGTCGGGCACATCACATTATTAAAGTCGCGGTACTTTGAAAACCAGGGCC